AGTCTCTCATTTTTAAATAAATAAATTTAAAAACAAACAACCATCTCAACAATTAACACCTATGTACCTGTTCTAACTAACACCTAGCACTATTCTAAGCACTTTACTTATGCTGTATGTATTACATTACTTAAACTAGTGAAGACAGTACTACTAGAGAAACTCCTCAATAAGGTAAAAGACTTATTATCATTATGCAAGAGAAAGTTTCTGGTTGTGAAAATTAGAGTTCAACACAGTCATTTCTGTCCAAAGAACTTATTCCCACATCAGCATTTTACAACTGAAGAAAAATATGCCTATTATCTTATAAGCATGAAAACTTAGTAATTTAGTTTTGAAATGCTTAAAGAGACAGAAATAAGCTGTTAAAATTTTGCATTTGAAGTTTACATTTAACTGTGGTTGTCTTTTCTGCTATATGTATTCTTCTCCAAGATTGATATAAATTGATTTTGTTTGTAGCTTGGTTTACAAGTAACACCTCTTAAACTAAAATTCATATTAAAAAGGCAGAAATATGTCATGCAAGAAGAATGTTTAATTTCTCTTTCCTCAAACAAATATCTACCAAGAATAACACACTTGTTGTTTCTTCGCTAACTAAACTCTACTCATGCTTTGCTGGTATCAAAATTAACCAATCAGAGTTCCCTGCTACTTGGAGCTGCTTTAAATTTACAATTAAACAAAGGGATCAAGTTATGCATCACAGGACATGCAAATGCTCAAATTGCAAATCAACTGCAACTTACTATTGAACACGGAGTTCAAAACAAAAGCCTTTGGCCATAACTGGAGACAAAAATAGTGGGAGGAAATAAGTATTTCAAAAGAAAAATGGCAAGAACTATATTATTATAATTATAACACAAATCTGCCTTTTTAAGACAATAACACTGGCACAAAATGCTGACAGCCAAATAGACATCCTTACTTAAGTCAATTCCCATCTTGACCTCCTAGAGTGTTTTGAATCAGTTAACTCTCAATCTGAGAGAACAGACTAAAGTTTTATTTGCCATAGTGAGTCACAGTAACAAACAGAAGAATAGGTTATAGTTGCAACTATCCTGGGCCAAAAAATAAACCATTCAAAAGGAGGATAAAAGAGCTAGGTCATTTGTGACAAATATTTGGCACTGATTTCTAGCTTGCAATATATTGAAAGGGATGTCTAGTAAGATGTAGTCAAACTCAACCATAAGTTTATAATAAATGCATAAAATCTTAATGATGTTCTTAATTGGGAGAAGCAGTAGTTATTCTTTACACTTCAAAGAGCTTGTCAAAAAATATAAACTGAAAATGGCAGAAGCCTAGAAAATCTAGACTTCAACTGCTAGCAGCTGAAAGAGGTAGACTTTGATAAAGAATCCAGTGACTGCCACATGTAGACTTTCTAAGCATTGAGCACAGAACATTAAACCAAGTGCTAGAAAGAGGGGTTAGGAGAATTGTAAAACTAGCTCACAATCCGGAGGCACATTTGATGACACTAGAGAAAAAAACCCAAAAAATTAAATGCGTCTTCCAATAGACTAAAAAGATATGCTTCTAACATTTAATTATCAAAATGATCTCCCTAGAGAAAATGGCAGACTTAAATACCACTACCACAAGAGTAGAAAGCATCTTTTTAATCAGAAGTTTCAACTTAGGAAGGTTCTAAGGCTGTAAGTCAGAGTGTATCATTAAAATTGTGGAGCACAGCGTTCACTGCAGGAGAGAGAAGGAATGCTTCAAGGATGTCATTTAGCACCTTCAAGGATGCCCTGTAGGGATGGATGCCCCTGAAGTCTGTTCATCTTTCACAGCAAGCATTGTGTTGTTATTTTTGTTCTTTTCCTCAATTCTTTTATGATATTTTGAGGTTGAAAATACGAATCAAATTGAGAGGGCAGGACAACAGAGTTGTTATTAGTTAATATGAATATTCACATAACCTATTTAGAGACTTTATACAATACTACTTATGATATAAGATCCTACTAGACAAAGGAATAATTAATTACTTCTAATAAATGTGGACTCTCATATACTTACATAAACAAATTCATCAAAACTTATCTTCCCATCTTTATTTCTGTCACCATCCAGCATGAGTTTTTGAATAATTTCTCTCACTTTATATCCAGGCAATGGCATATTAGCTTCTTTGAAAAGTTCATGAAGTTCATAGTCACAAATGAATCCATTGCTGTTGAGATCTTTGTAAGAAGGACAAGGAATAAAAAAAGGAAAGAGATAGAAGAAATAAATTAACCAATTAAAAATGTCTTTTCTTCATTTTTGGTTCAGTTCATAAGCTAACCAGATTTCAGTCTTTCATTTTTGGAGCCTAAAGATGTATGAAAAGGCAATGCAAATTTTAAGTGAAAGAGCAAGATTTTACGTCATGAATCCTATACTTTAAACAGTATATAAGTAGATTTACTTAAAAACAACATCCCTTATTTTAGGAAAGAATCCTTAGCACAACTATTATTAAATCACAGAGCTAAGAGGATGTTAAAGCAATACAATGTATACCAACAAAACACTGGCCTGCTACAAAGCAATTTCTACTACGAATATTTAGGAACATTATGTTTCTTTTTCCTTAATCTAAAACACGTTTTATGAATTAGCACTGATTCTATTCCAAAGTAATACCTGAAATGAAGCAACCACCTCGGCCACCTTTTTTTTTTAAGAGTTAGTGTAAACAAACATTAATTCAAGACAAATGCAGAGTTCATAGAAAAATATGTAGTACTCAGTAAAGCAGATGTTTGGTATGTCTCTAAAAATAACCTTTATTTTTGTACTACTGCAGTTTTAGCAGATTATGCATAGAAGTACTGATTAAGTGAGTGCTGCTTATTTTGAACCTATTAGAAATGAAGGGGGGAAAAATACCTGGGCTGGAGTACAGCTCAGTGGTAGTGTGCTTGCCTATTGTGTATGAGGCCATAGCACTGAAAAAAAAAAAAAACCTGACCAATGACCAAAAGTTGACTTATTGAAAAGGAGGGCTAATGTTCTAAGGGTTGTAAGCACTTAAATATATTTTGTTTTTATTTGTTTTTGAGACAGGGTCTCACTATGCAGTTCAGGCTGGCCTTGAACTCACATTGTATTCCAGGCTGGGCTCGAACTCATGGTGACCCTCCTGCCTCAGCATCCTGAATGCTGGGATACTTACAGGCATGCACTACCACATCTGCCTAGTATATAGTTTTAGTGAATAGATTTTTAATTTCACCAGAAATATCAAATATGGAAATTAAATCATAATAGATGAACCCAGGTGCTGTCGCACATGCTAGAACCAAGAGGATCATGAATTCCAGGCCAGCCTGGGAAGCTTAGGAAGAGCTTGTCCTTAAAAATAAAAAGGCTAAGGATATAGCTTAGTGGTAAAGTTCATGTCTAAGGCCCTGGGTTCCATCCTACTACTAAAAGAAAAATTATAACAGAAAGATATAATCTGAATTTTGAACAGAGAAATGACTCAAAATAACCACAACATCCTCCAAGGAAAGGTCCTGTGACTTGCTAATGTATTTGACACATTATTTAAAAACTACCAGGTCCTACTGTTGAGATTGAGGATATAAACGATAGACAAAAGACAGTCTTGCACTGGAGCTCACACTGTAACCACAAGGCATAAATAACATATTCAAGAGACATGAATATAAAATAACAATGTGATTGCTGTGAAGAAAAATAAAGCAGAATAAAGGGTTCACGCAGGGGCTATCTTGCCCTGTTGAAGCCCAGAGACATTTAGAAATGAGTAGAGACATTTTCGATTGCCGCAACTGGGCAGGGCGAAAATGTTCCTGGCATCCAGTGGGTACAGGCCAGGGATGCTGCTAAACATTCTACAATGCGTATGTTCCCCCAAAAGGTCAAGAGTGATTAAGTTAAGCAACCTGGGTCATAGTTAGAATGTGGAGGAATGCTACACAGAATGGTCAAGAAAGGTCACTTTGATGATGCTATATTTGAGTACAGACTTGTCTGAGGTAAAGGAGCAAAACGTGAGACTATGTAGGGGAAGAGATTTAAGGTAGAGAAAATGGCAAATGCAAAGTCTGGGATACAGAAGCACTTCTGGTGGTTTCTGAGAAAACCAGAGATCCAGTACACCTTCAGCAGAGTAAGCAAAGGGGAAAGTGAGAGGCAGACTGTACAGATTTCTAGACCATAACACAAATTTTAGATTTTTAAGCATTATTTAAATGCAATCACATTTGCTAATTTTTGTCAATTACTAAATAGTAAACATCCTATATAAAACTATTTCACCAATACTTTGATGGCTAATGAAATTCTTTGTGGGTTTTTGTGTATTTTTTCCCTGTTCTTTTTTGTTTTGCTTTGTGGTGCTGGGGATCAAACTCAGGGCCTGCATCTCATATGCTGGGATCACAGCCATGCACCATCACTCTTAGCTCATCAGATACTCTTAAATATTGCTTACCGCATTTTAAAATCTATCAGTTAGCTGGGTGGTGGCACATACCTGTAAGCCCAGCTATGTACTTAGGAGGTTAAAGCAGGAGATTTCAAGTTGGTGGTCAGCCTGGGAAATTTAGCAAGAGCTTGTCTCGAAATAAAATTTTAAAAAGGGTGGATGGTGCTGGATAAGTAGGTCAGTGGCTTGCCTAGTATGTGAGAGATCCAATATCTGGATTCAATTCCCAGTGTCACAAAATGAAACAAAAAATAATAACAAAGAAAAACTATCAATTAAAAATATGTATGTTGGAAATATCTATTGCAAGCAACTCAATACTTCTGAAAATTATTTATATTTCATTCAGGGTGATGTACTTGATTCCACCAGGGTACATCTTCATTTTCTTTGCTTTGAATTTATAAAAGGTCATAGATCATATTCTTCTATATATAAACTGTTTAGATGTAGAAATCAAACAAGCAATATCTGCAGTAATCCACACAGCACTGTGGCAGAATTTGAGCAACTCTTTGATTCTCTCTTTCTTCAATGTCTACAGCCAAATTTATCCCCAGGTCCCAGGCAGGGGACGTATATAGTCCATAAGCAGCAGAGCTTGCTGCAGCAGCAATCTGGGCCAGACCCCAGCATGATGAAATGAGTGCTGAATTTGACTTGACTGCAGGTGAGCAGCTCCGGATATATGAAAATCTTGGGTTTAGATATACCCACTCCCATTTAATGCCAATCAGTTCCTCCTATTTTCTTTATAAAGTTGACATGGACCTCAGTACTAGGAACCGAGTGTGACATAGCTGAAGGGACAATGGGAACACACAATGGGAGCAGTGTGACACAGGACATAATTTCCACTTGGCTACGAATTTGTGCAAGTCACCTCTCTAGGTCTCAGTGTTCCCAGCTGTAAAAGGAGTGCTTTGGATGAAACAGTCTCTAATGTCCCTTTTGCCTCACACTGATTCTAAATGAGAACACGCAGGCTTTTACAACCTCCTCCTCCCACACACATATTTTTGAAAACCAGAGATAGAATAATAAAGCATATAAAAAACAGATATAGTGATAATATTCTGATCACTACTATACATCATTATCAAAATATAATATCATTTCATTTTAACTTCCTTTAG